TTATTTATTTTTACTGTTTTTCCCCCCAAAGAATCATCCCTCAAGGCACCCCCAACTGCATTAAACATTCCTTAACTTCTCCTCTTTGTCCCCCTTTTATCTTAGCAAACACTCTCATTCAGGACTAAACAGGAAATGCCTGAACTTTTTATGAAGGCATCCCTGCTTTTCTCAAGGACACATCACTCTAATTCTTTTAACTTTTCTAATTGCTCATTTTACAAACCTGATCGTTTTTGTTAGAATTGTTTGGACCCTCTTCAAGTAACTGGTAAGTATGACATTCCTTTTTCTTTGCAAACTGGTAAGGAAAAGATGACATTACTTCATCGCAGAGAGCAATTCCCTAAGGAATAAAATCTGAAGGAGAGTTTGAGAACTGAGGGCTGAGGGATATATACAGGATGTGCAACATATGTCAGACTTCATCTCAATTGTAGTCTTCAAGCTACTGTCATTTTAAGTTACATTCTTTATGCCTTGGGGTCCGAGGAAGATGTCTCACGCATACTCATGACCCCTCTTCATTTTCTTCACTTTGTACCAATATGTAAATATGCATTTTGTCACCCCTGCTATTGCTGTTTTCTGTTATCAAGAGAAATAAGGCCACTTCAGAGTACGAAGCTGTCCAGCTCTGGCATGGGCATTGTATTGTGGTCCCTTGACATGGCCATGCCACGGCCACTGTGGTTGGCATCACTGCTTTACTGGAGCACATGGTGGCTCCAGAATTTCTGCATTGGACATATCTGGGCTCAGCAATTGGAGAGGAAAGGGAGCTTCGTGGGATTTTTTTTCTGAGGCTGTTTGTATTATTTATATGATTTTTATGTTTCCTTGGATATGTTTAGAGGAGAAGGCGTAATGGATATCAGCTACTTCAGCAGCCATCATCGAAGTACAACTGGGGCTGCAATGGAGTTGCAGGACTAATTCAGGACTGAGGTCAAATCCAGGGCACCCTTTTTTAGGGTTTGAGATTAGCTCCCAACACTAAGCCAGCCCTCAGGATTCCTCTGCAAATGTATGCTCTTCAAAAATCACTAGAGTCCTGGAAATTCAAGGTGGGAAACTCAAGGCATTCACAGTGGCAAATTCCTCTTGGCAATGACATTTGGCTTTACTTCCAAGGGCACCTTCCGAAGGACATGCCTTTTCTTCTCCCTCCTTTTTACAATCATATAGAACCTGGTAGTTGGGGGGCATCAGAGAGGTGACAAAGTAGTGGTGGCAGGCTGGGGCGTTCAATTTAAATAAAAACGTTGTTTTTTCAGACATGTCTGTAAACCAGAGAGTCGATGTAATAAACCCTGCTATGCAACCAGGGCTG